AATTCCACTGATAATACCCAAGTCCAGTATTGGGCTACATGGGGTAAACAGGTAGAGATAAAATCCAGACAAGCCAGGTGTTGGAAAACAATCAACTAACTCTGGAACTGCATTTCAGTCTGTTTTTGAAGAGACTGCATTTCCTTGAAATCATCTTGAAGTGCTCTTTGATCATAACTGATATAGGAACTTAGCTACTAAGATGCTTTTGCACAGTTATATCTAACATACCACCTGCAATTGTTCCTGAGTAAAGCAAATCTTAGCAAGTTATCCATGCTTTGGTTACATCCTATTTGATCCCTTCTATGGGTTCTTAAATAGTGCTCAGGAGTTTTACTGGGTACAAAATGTAGCAGCAAGGCTGCTAATTACTATATGTGAACTATCATGTGCTGAGAGACCTAGAAATGCATTCTAGGATAACGTTTTTAAAAGTTGAACCACATTTATTTTAGAGGCTGCTCATCAAACCCAAAGAGCAACTCTGGGTGGTAAGAGTGGCTGTGTATTAAAAATGATTCCTAAAAGCATTTGCATGGCTTCAGTGCTTCATTAACTCAAGAAAGGGAACTAGAAAGAACTAAAGATTATAATTAAAGGAGACTCACTAATATATAATGGAACAAAATGCTTTTAATGTTGGAAGAATTCAAGGATATTTGGGAACAATGCACTCAGAAAATATTAAAATTTTCTGCAATTATAAAAATAGAATTATAAGAGGTTATAGAACAGAAACAGGTTTCATTGGTCAAAATAAACTGAGGCTATTTGACTAGCAACAGGAATGATATGGTAAAAGATATTACACTGGATTTACAAATGAGACTGGCTGATGTCTCAATTAAAAGAGATATACAAATAACAAACCAAAAAAGTGACTTTGATAACTTTCTTATTTTGAATTTGCAAAAGAGATGTGTTAAAGTTTTGAAGGTATTTTACAGAAAACAGAGAGAGAAAATGAAAACAAATCAAGTTCTGGGACAGTATTTAAAGAGATTAAAAAGCAAGATTTTTAAAAGCAAAGAGAAAGAATACAAAGTTGATTTATTTGATCAAGATTAAAAGCAAATATTATTTCTTGTAACTCTTAATGGGTTTTGTTGACCAGCACCAAATGCTGAGCCTTTAAAGATTTGTTTAAGATATGAGATGAAATATGGGAAGAAGAGATCTTTTTTAAAATGTTCATAGAAAGTAACACGCTGGTATTAAAGTGTTAAATGTAAGGAAAGTAGTTTGGTTTATTTGATTGAAGTTAAAATATATGTTATTGTTATTTCTGGTAACTCTTAATAGATATTGGATATATTTTTTTACTATTTACTATACTATAGTAAATTTTTTACTATATTCTGTACAATGAGTCTCATATTTTATTGCACTAGTGATACAAAATCTACGTCTGTAGGCAATCAGCTCATATGGCAAGTGCAATCAGATCTTCAATCCATTGACTAAATTGAGTCCTACATTATCTTTCTAATGCTGTAATATCAGTCCTTTAGCCACAATAAGGGCTAATATGTAGAAAATATATTTTAATGAAGCATTATCCTTATTATATCTTCAATAAAGTTTTTTAATAGTCATTTTCTAAACAAACATAATGAAGTCCAATAATTTTAAATTCCAAGTGTGTCTTTGTCAGACACATAACCCATAACATTCAAAATGTGCCTCCCATCTCTAAAACATTGGAAATCCTATATCACAACTATGAAATAGTTAGAAATACACAGATAAAAATACATCTGGCATACTCACCTAAAATCAATTTAATTTCTTCCTAGAGGGCTTACTTCTAAAAAAAAGTCTTAAAGTTGGTTTTAGTAACTCAATAACTAAAATTCTAACCCAAAGTCATATCAAAGATCCTTTAAATAAACAGCCTTGCTAAATAGCTTCTATAACATCTTAGTACAACTAAGGATATTGATTATGGTGTTCAATCAATGAGCACTGTAACTGACAAGTATAAGTCTGTGCATTGTAAGTGATGAGGCAGCGTAATGTAAGCTCTGATGTTTAGAAACATTGCATGGAAAATTCTGACAAGGTTAGGCTGAATTAGCTGTGGAAGAAATTAAACCAATTATGAAGCATACGGTAGTTATTCCACCACCCACTGATAGGTATGTAGGGAAAAACAAGTGCATACTGTTTTATTTTTAATCACAGCTGCTCAAGTCAATTTTCTATAACAAAAACAAAAACAGAAATAAAACACATGCAATCAGTTAGCTTATTTAAATGATCCATTCCCTTTCCCCCTTCCAATATCCCATATTTTCACCTCCTATTTATTATACTGAAGTAGCATAGCAATAGCTTTTAGACTTATATACCGCCTCACAGTGTTTTACAGCCCTCTCTAAGAGGTTTACAGAGTCAGTTCTCAAGACTAATTCTTAATAGGAATTTTAATCCACCAAGATAGTTTAGTCTAAAGAGGAAAATGAAATTTAAATTTAATCATAAATTTAGTTAGTATTGCAAAACAATAGAAATAATAAAAAATACAAATTAAAATGTAATGGTTGCTTTTGAAAAAGGTCAAAAATCTTATTGTTTAGAAGATCATAAGAATCACACTGCATTAAGCAACATAATTTTCAACACTAATGTCTTCCAAATGCACTGCAACTACTATCAACATTCCTAGTCAGCATGAATGTATATCACCAGGAAATGAAGAAACAGCCAATCATTTGCTTCCAATAAATTTTCAAGCTGGTGAACTCAAGCAACTGGCTTTAAACCTGTAAATTTATTTAAATTATTACAGCTAACAGCAGACCTATCAAGCATTACAATGTCTAATCACTTTTTAATACTACACCATTCAAAAAAATTCTGTCTCCCTCTTTATCCTCCATAACATTTTGCCAGCACAGATGGGGAGAGTAGCAAGGTGTAAAGAAAAACAGTATTTTTGTATCATCAAATATTGTGACTTCTTCTTATCCTTACATCTTGCAATGTTTTTTCTAGACAAAATTTTAAGAACACAGGAACATTTTCTTTCCTTGTATCAAGTTCTCCTACAAACCATAGGAATACTATCTGAAACAGAGAAAATGGGAGGCAAGCTGAAATGAATGTTTCAAATGACCCTTCTACAATTTTCCTTTGGTAGTGAAAAAAAAATCAGGAAATCATGCAAAACCTAAACAAATAGGAGTGTTTCTCCAAATAAAGAACTTTTGTTCATTATGCAAGTATTTCTTCAATCCTCCGATAATAGCTATATAACAATTTGCATGAACCCAACATTTAATAGGCTACTTACAAGATGGCCATAGGGAAAGAGGGCTTGAAAAGGATTTTTGAGATAATAGGGCAGAAGCTTGGGAACAAATAAGAATTCAGAAAGAGAAGCACAAGCAGAGGGGAAAAGGCAGAAAAATCCCCAAACCCCTACTGATAAAAAAAACTTCACACATAAACTCATCCCTTGTTCAGCATTATTAGCCTTGCATTTTCTTATGACTACAGCATGTACAATACAAGATACTTTATGAATAAATGCAAATATACTATCCCAGGATAATGTTGCAAGATTCAATCTGCGTAGGTCACCAGGACTAGAGGTTTAGTCTTCCGAACTTTTGGACTGGGACCAGTTCCCTGAGGATGGGCTCCAGCATGAGTCCTAAAACTTGGAAAATTAAACCTCTGGTCCTGGGGCCTGACCCAGATTGGATCCCGCAATAAGATATTTCATTCAGGTTAAGTGTTACATGCTTATCTAGGTCAGATTTATCTTTATTCTGTTGCCTTAATTCTGACCACAAGCACTGGGGCCTCATGTTTTCCCACTTCTGTAGTTTAACACTTTTCCACTTTGTCTTTTCCTGAGTGATACTGTACTCTTTGATAGAAACTGCCAATACAGTTTTATATTATGTGACCAGTTGTTCTTCCAAGTACTTAATTTGACTGTCAAAACCAAGAAGGACCAACTTCCAAATTTAAAATGTTTCTTGGTTTTTAATTTTCTTAATTGCAAGCCAATACTGATCTGGCATGTACTTAGGTTATTGTGGATAACCCAATTCCCAATACTTCATATTGTGGTTACAGTGGTAAAAGCACTAGCAAGATGTTATAGGAGTATTTTCATGTTGTGGCCATTTCTTCTATCCTTTTCCATTGGGTAGAAGCCAGGAAAAGACCACCCACAAGCCATGGTTACATATTCTAGTCAGCCACTATATAACGGACAACTAACGAATCAGAAATCCACATTTGCACATTATACTGCACTATTAAAGAACTTGAATGTACATGTTGCAGACCTATGATTAAATCATTTTGGAATTTATTTTCTGTGTGTACTTTAAAAAACTACAACTACAGTCTATTATTTCATTCAATTATTTGATTTGTGAACTTATGAAAAAAGAAATACATTATCAACATTATCAAAGTTTGTATGAAAGAATTTCAGTTCAGGAGAGTTCTTAAAATGGAAAATAAATCCAGTCATTTGATGTTCTAAATTGTTTTAAATTACAATAAAATGCAATCTTGTAAATCACATCAAATTGTTCAAAATGTTCATGAGTATATATAATTGAGACTTCAGTTGCTGTACAATTCAGGTATGACTTAGTTTTCATTAAGGGAAGGCAGGATTTGCTCACTTTGGAGGTTTCCCCAGTGTATGAAAGAAGTATGAAAATACGAAATAGCTAACAGAACTGGTTGAGAGATTAGGACTTCATCCCCCAAATTACATATTCTCTCTGCCTTCTAGGCATTTATTGAAATAGCCACCATACTTATGTGCAACCATAACAACTTTTTTAAAAAAAGTCCTACTTTTCTAATTATACAAAAACCTGGTAGATATTATATTAGGAGCCATGACATACCTTCTATAATATGATCAAAGCAGCCATAAAGTTCAGCACATCTACTTACCTTCTCAGTGGTTAAATCAGAGCATACAATTAGTTCACTGACTGATGGAGCTCATTCACACTCACCTGCAGTTCACACCAAGCAACTTCTACCCAGGTTTCTGTGTCCAGACCCTTGAAGACAGTTTTGAAAGCTCCTCTTCCCAACTCAATGTCAAATTTCAGAAATCTTCCACCAGGTGATGTAGCCACAGCCTTCATCTCTGCCTCCTCTTCTATCTCCTTCTTCGTCCTTTCCTTCGCGGCTTCCATAATTACCTTTGAATTTTGCTCATTTCTGGCTTCTTGCTCAGCCACAAGTATACTGGCAGAAAGATGGATCATCCTCTGATCACCCAAGATAAATTGTTCTTGCTCATTCCGTGGAGTAAGTTCCAAGTCCTTTTCATCCTCTATTATCTCCACACTTTTTCGGAAAAATCTTTTTCTTTCTACAATTGCCCCAGAGGCAGGGGTGCTAAGCCCCTCTTTGGTCCTGGCCTCCATGGTCAAAATAACATCAACAGAAGGATTCACACATTCCAAAGAAACTCCATCAGGTTTCTCTGATTCTTCTGTGCTGGCTGATTCACCAGAGTCTGTAGCCATGACACAGCAGAGCCTTGGCACTTAGATATGAAGTGTTTCCCTTCCTCTTCACTCCAGGCACATGATGAATAACTGCAATATTATCAGGACTTACTTCCTCTCAGATTATCATAAGATTCCCATAGCAACCTGTAACAAGAAGGAAGGAGGGGGGAAAGATTCATTTTAAAAGGTGAAATCTGAAGCAGGCATCAAAACTGCAGTGTTCAGTTAATTAGTCTACCTTCTTTATCCCAGCAACAGAAACATAGTTTTTTGTTTAAAGACATTTTTACCGCTGAGAAAGTAAGCTGAATAATGTACTATATAGATCACCTTAGATTATTGGCTTCAAGAGTTTAACATCACATGATGTTACTGTAAACAAATCCCTTGGCAGTTTGACATATGAATGGAGTTTGTTGACCTAAATATTTCCTCCCTTTCCAACTTCTTAAATTCAGTAATTGTTAGTTAATTCACCCAATGAATTAATTGTCAGAGTTGATGCATGCTTAGGAACTTAACACACTTTGTTGTCTCCTACTTTATCTGTATTACATTTCACATTGTATGCTTAACAAGATTCCCTCTTTTGGGTTTCCAAGAACCCTAACAAGCTTGGAACCTTGTAATTTGAATTATTTCTCCATATAAAAAGCTTCCAGGAAAAAAAATGAACACAAACAAATGACACTGATTGTTTAAAGTCATATAACAATAAGAGATCAACATATAATATAGTCTGACTAAAAATCCTGCTTATACAGTAATGCTTCTACCTATATTGCTTGAAAAAACAGAAATTACTTAGTAACTATTTTTTCAGAAACTACTCCCTTTGTGTTCTGATCTGACCACAATTGTTCCTTATAAATGAAATAAAAGAGGCATTTTATTCTTATGTTCTGAAAGTGCATTGTGGATGCTTAATAATTATATCCAGATAAACTGGTATTTCCAGCTAGTATGCTGTATTATGATGGAGCACTGTCCAAAGTACTTGAGGTTTTTCATGTGGTTTAAAGCTGAGGTGTTTTTTTTTAAAGCAAGCTTTCAAATGTAAAAAAAGAAAAATCCATGCCTCAATGGGAGTTTATTTAATCAGACAGCCTCTGTAACACCACATCTTCAAGCAAATGGAGTTAATGGAATTTATTCAAATCCCTCTAGATATTTACACTCACATGTCAAGTTTATTTACAAATGCTGAAAGCAATGTGTTGCAGCAAAGACTTAACTACTCAGCATCAGTGCATAAGCCAAAATCTTTTACTGTACTACACATTTTAGTTAAATCAATTAATATATGTAATGGTTTCATAAAACAATCCAAATCCACGTTACTCTGTCAAGCTTTTAATATTATATTTTAACGTGCCTTGAAACATCCGTTTTAAAAAGAGCAAGAAAAAGAACAGCCATGAGAAAACCAACGTGCTGTAGTACTTCAATTAAACTTGACATTCCTTGTGAATGTATTTTGGAACTCTACATTTTCATAATGAAGATACAGTAGGTATATGCAGAATCTGAGTGAGTTAAAAAAAAAACTAGTGTAATATATGCTGTAAAGAAAAAATAAAAATGGGCAAATATTGTACTTGGTATTGGAGAAAAATAATTAAGATATCCTGTATCACTACATTTAAAATTTGTTCAATAAAGAGAATATTTATAACACAATCACTTTTTGGATATAAAGCAACAGAAGATCATTCAACGAGAGGGTATTATTTGCATGGCAAGCTTCTTCTGCCTTTTTTCTGTGAAAGAAACAGAAGCTTCCTCCATACAATTTTCAGGTTCAGCATCCCACCAACTATTAGCAGCATTTTCACAATTTTGTGGTGCACTCAGCAAATGTTTCCACCTATTCTTGAGCCAGTACTCTTCTAACTAGTCAATGGGGAAACACTAAAAATAGCAAAACACTCCATCCTCCTTCTTGTTCCTCCCTTGCTACGTTTCAGTTTTATAGCAAGAAACAAATAACCCCCATCCCAAGTCCAGCTGCTACTCTGTTGGAATGCAGCAAAGTCCCTCTGCTAAATAGCCTGAAACTAATGGGGGAACAGCAACAAAGCATCATAATGTCTATAGTCTGTGAAGCAAAAAAACATCTCACGAGTAAGAAGCAAAGTGAGACCGGGAACTGCCTACCCTACAACTACAGCGAAAATGCTACACAATTATCTTTCAGCATTTCCTTTAGAGGCAATCAATTAATTTCTGAATTGGCTCTGTGTACATAGCCCACTAGAAATCCCTCAGCATTATGGAAACATGCATGAGAAAGCGCCAATGCCATTTTAGTGTCATTCTTACCCATGGAAAAAGGGTAAAATTAATTAGATAGAATTAGCCTTTCCCATCCCCATCCTCAGCCTTGTGTACTCCAACAGGAAGATGACTCTAAGTGGCTTATAGACATTTGATTAAAATGCACTATAAAACATCAAACCAATAAAAGTCAAGTAAAATAAAACTAACCAGGATGGAGAGGTAGGGAACAAAATGTGGACAGGAGGCAGGTAAGGTGTTATCTATTTCAATACCCACCTCCAACCTGTCACACCTCCATTGGGGACCCAAACTAATTGGCACAGTCATGTCATCAAGGCCTTTTGGGGAAATATGTAGGACACAGTGCAGGAATTATAAATAGAAGGGAGACTTGGTAGAAATATCCTTTAATGTGAATAGGACAATAGGACAGGGATCATTAAATGCAGAACAAAATTAATCAGTATATAATACTTGACAACCCATGCCCCATTCGATCATCTCTTCTGAGACATTTCCCTTAAAACACAGAAACAGAATGACCAAAGGCAGGCAAAAAAGCAAGAACAACTTCTAACTTTCTGCCGGCTTCCCCGTTGACTTTCCTTGTGAGAATCTGGTAGGGAACACTGGATATTAGACAGCCAGTTTGGTCTAGTGATTAAGGTCCCAGGCTAAAAAGCTGGAGACTGTGTGTTCTAGTCCCATTTAGGCATGAAACCAGCTGTGTGACTTTGGGCCAGTCACACTCTCTCAGCCCAATCCATCTCACAGGATTGTCGTTGTGGGGAAAATAGAAGGAGGAAGGTGTGTTGAGTATAGGTGTGTTGAGTATGTTCACTACCTTAATTATTTCTAATAATAATAAAGGCGGGATACAAATAAATAAATATCTCCCTTCCCTTCCCAGCTGGAAAGTAAGTTGTTGCTGCAGGATGAGGGAGGGAGGGTTTGTGAGACTGGATGAGAATCTGTCTCAGAACACTGAAAATGAAGATGACATGACAGTAGCAGCAACGCAGCAGCAAGCAGAAGCCAGCAACACTGAAGCAGCCACAACGTTCCCAAATTTTATTCCTTCGGACTCAAGGGTCCTGGATTTTGCACACATTCTGTAAGCCCATGTGAGGTACCCAAATTATTACAGTGTAGAATATATTAAGAGAGGCAGCTGGAAGTAATGGTTAAAGGATCAGGTTAGAAACCTGGCATCTGAGTTCTAGTCCTGCCTTAGGCACAAAGTCAAGTGGATGATCTTGGGCCTGTCACTCTCTTTTAGCCTCAGAAAAGAGGCATGGCAAATCACTTCCTTTTTTAAGATATAATTTTTATTGAAGATTTCTACATAAATAAAAGATAAACATGAAAATAAAGTTAAAAAGAATAAAAAAGATAAAAGTAGAAAAAACATAAGAAGAAAAAGAAAAAGAAAATTAAAGAAGTGACTTCTGACCTTCTTGGTAGTGATTATAAAGTGATTATTTATCTTACCATTTAAGATTATATTACAAAGATTTCTACTATCCTATATTCAGACTATTTTTCAATCAGCAAATTTAGAAATCATTCAGCAAAAGTAACAAACCACTTCTAAAAACCTTGCCAAGAAAACTGCAGGGGCTAGTCCAGGCAGTTGTCAGACATCCATAATGATTCAAAGGCATAAATAATAAAATAAAATAAAAATAAAAATATCAATCCATAAACTAACAACATAACACTAGTTATGTTCTAAAACTTGAAATGTTCTAAAATCGTGCATTCTGTAATCTCATTCCCTGTGAATATCATTCTCTATTTTTGAGATATAAAACAAAAGAAAATGATATCAAAGAACTCCATTAAATTCTAACAATGGTTGCTTTACCTAGTTATTTTACCTTTACACAGTAAAATCAAAATAAATTAGCAACTGAAGCATGCTAAGAAAATTAATTTTAACAACTCACCCACTCTGTAACAAAATATTATTAATAGCCTGGTCCAGCAATCGCCCCCCCCCCAACCTGCTCCCAAGAGAAAATGTGAATTCACAGGTGCAGTTCTTTTGCTAAGACTACTTGAAATGGAATCCAGAGCATATTCTAACAGGAACAAACATACAACATATAATCGACAATTCACGTTTGAGGCCAAAAGCCAACTGAGCCTATGACATTCCTACACTGACTTTTAAAATCAAAGTACCTCCCACTTGTATACATAAACAAGTTTTTTTTTTAAAAAAAAAATTGTTTGCTTATTATATTGCATAATAAAACTATATTTAAAGCTTTAAAATGTTGGAAGTTATTCACATACTTATTTTGGGTTATTGTATTAATTAAATCCAATCCTAGAGATTTTAGTTATTTAAAAATGCACAATGCACTATTTTAGGAAACTAGCCAAACTGAAACAATGTAACAGATAAACAATGCTAAGGAAACCACACTATCACTTTTATAAGAAATAAATGAAAAAATACAATCTGGGAAGAAAAACAAAGGCAAAGAAATATATATATGTAGGCTTGAACAGTTCAAAGATTATACTGTAATGGACTACAATTTAGATGCTTATCAATAGTAGACAATAACTGTGCTCCGTTATTAATACATCACTAATTAACACTAATTAAGTAGCACTAGCTTGTGCAAATCCAACTCATATGTTTAATTTATGATTTGTGAAGCAAAATTTGGATTAAATAAACAATAGAATACAGTATTCTGAGACTACACTACCAAGATTTGGTAGCAAATAGCCTCATTTCAGTTATACACTTCCCCCAAATTTCTGAAAAGAGAGTAAAAATCACAGGACTATACAGTAGTTCACCCATTTTCCTGCTAAATTTCAGTACCATAATTTCTGCCTATTTTTAGGATTTTCCAGGTATTCATGTTAAGCATAAGAATACTGTACTTCCCAGAGGCCTTCTGTTCCTCTTCCTATGATTAATACTCCAAAAAGGGGCTCATTTCCTGTATTAACATCCATAATAATAGTTTTACTTGGTTCCTTATATTTATTTTGTACTGTTTTAATTATTTTAATTTTTTAATTGTTTTTATGTAGTATGATGTACACTGTCCAGTGTCATTTGTTGAAATTGCTAGGTGGCTATAGAAATCAAATAAATTAAAAATAAGTTTTAAAAATCAGATGAGAAAGTTGATGTAAAAAACTCTCTAATCTATATAAAATCAAAAACAATTATTTATGATCATATTATGTACAATTCTGAATGAATTACTGAATCAACCGAACAATTATTTTATGGACAACCTCAATGAAGAAGATAAATATTCTATTCTTCGCCTTTTTTATTATTTTTTTACCGTCCTACATTAATATGTGTTTGCATGCGCGCACACACATATACATACACATACCTTTGAGTCAGTGTTGGCTCCTGGTGATTGCCTGGATAAGTCCAAGCAGTTATCTTGGCAAAGTGTCCTTCCTAGAGCTAAGAGTGAATATACTGGCCCAAAGTCCCCCAGTTAGCCTAAGTCAGGACTAAATCACATGGTCTTCTGTTTTCTAGACATGCTTTAACCACTACACCAACTTGGTTCTTGTATATTAAATATTTATCTAAATAAAATTATATAATATATATGACATACTTATATAAATATTTAATAAAAGTGTCATGATACTTCAGATAACTGACCTGTAAAGCTAATTCAATTAATTGCTCTCATTAAGTTAGTCTAAAATCCATACAATAATACTATTTGGTATTTTATTCTGCTGCTGGAGAATGTTCATCCGTTATAATTCTCTATCTGCATTTACATGAGGTAAGCACCTATGGTTAAGTGAAGCATGGTTTATTTTACTAACTTAATTTCTTGGGTTAATATGATATACTGAACCATAAGATAAACACGTGGATTGGATTTATACAACATGTTTCAATAAATTATGGATGGCTTTAAGATTCTCTAGAGATAAATGAAATTCAAATGAATGATATTTCCATGCAAAGCTATATAATGTAAGATAACCTTTCTTAAACCAATATTTCTGGACTATAACATGACTTATGTTACCCAACAAAAGGGTAGAGAGAACAGGTTTCTCCTTTCCAATGTATCCTTTCCCCCCTCTCCTTTATCATCCTTCTTTAAAAAAACAAAACAAAGATGGCAACTTAGTAGACTTCCACCTACTTCCATTATGAAGCTTGACGTTATAGACCATAGTTTAAAACTCCAAAGGCCCAGTTAATACAATATGAAAAAAGTTATGTTTAGTAATTTAGTAAAACAATGCTACATTCACTGTCATTCTGGATGACATTCTCAGTTAATATTGACAAGACTACAATTGTTGGCTGCTCCCAGAACTTTTGAAAACAATTTAGTACTCACACATGTACTTTAAAAAGGACTCCGTCTAACATACCTTAAAGAAATCCCTGATGAGAAAACAGTAGGCTGCTTGATCAATAATTATTCAATATTCCATTGTTGAAGTTGAAATTAGTTTCCAATTAGTATTCTTAGGTGGAGGAAGCAGTAGTTCTACGAGCAAATAAAGAACTTCATTAACAAATAGTACATCTAAACTGCACTGACCTAAAAATATCTGGTTCAAAACATTTAGATAACATTCCATGAATAATCATAAACCATGAACACATTTTTAGTTAACAACATTATTTATTGCTAAGTCAAAAAGTAACTTGATCTTGTGACACTTCTACATTTTAAATAAAAAGTTCAAAATTGCTGTGGTGAATTAAAGCTGCTTATTTTAAACCAAGAAAGCTCTAGTTCAAATTCAGGTTGTGCCACTGGTTTGTTACTTAGCTATTAACAAACCACATTCTTTCAATGTCATCTTTAATATAAGAATAATGTATACTACTTACTGTGATACCAATTACTATAACACATATATCTGAGCATTCAGAAACTGCTGTATAAATGCCAAATATTATTTTAGGATGGGATAAAAATAATATTAAACTGATGGAAATGTGTTAAATGTCTTATTTATTTCTGAGACAACTTTATTTTCTAAAATAGCAAATATTTTACTCATTACACTTTCTGTATAAAAAAGGAAAGCCCAATGTTTCCAGGAGTTCATTCTTGGACAGGGCAAGAATTCAAGCAGAAATTGTGACATTTACCATCTGCCATAATATAAAGTCCCTTGCAAAACTAACTTCAGATGTATCAAAATAATATCTCATGCCTCATCACTGTTTACAAACTAATAAAGTGTGTAATACGTTATTACACTAATACATTAATACTCCAAGAGCAGAACTGTCAAATCCGCAGCCCATTGGCCAGATGCGTCACACACTAGTCACGCCCACACCTAGTTTAGCAAAGGGGGTGGGGAAGTCCTGATATATCATGTGACGACGCTGCGACGACACAAGTTTGACACCCCTGTCCTAGAGGATGAAACAGGTTCCACTTATACCGCATCACTTAGCAAAATACTATGCTTCTTTTTCATACCTTAAAATTGAACCTTAAAATTGAACAAAAGTTTATCCTCAAAATGAGTGGGGTGGAATTATATAAATATAACGTAAATGGATTGTTAGCCATTATACTGTTGACTTCACTTACCTATTTAACCATATTAAATTATAGAGAACTCATACAACCTAAAAGCCACAATTTTCTTTATTTAATAATGATATTAAATAAATATCTACTGATACTTATTAGGGCCCAAAGTCATTTACATCAAAATAAAAGAGTAGATGCAAGATACTGTATGTAGGAAAGCATTTAAAGAAAAGAAAAAATATTTTGATTATCTGAAAATAAAAATTAGCAATGAATTTTAATTCCTGTCTATATTCCTTGATAAAGCAGGAATTTATCACATTTGCTGAGATGTATCCAATTCTAACTTTGAAAAAGGTATAGTATGTTTTCACAGGGGATGCTTACCTATGGTTACTAAATGTTCTGGCTTTATATAATATATTCAAGCATCAACTATCTATACAAGCTGCAGTCACACAGCATGCTAGACTTAAATGGTAAACTAGTTGGTGGTTTAGCATGCCACAAAGTCAGACTATTGTTTAATTGAGCTATAAATTTAAATCTATAAATACTGGATTCAAGCAACAATACATTGCGCTTGTTTTAGAAATAATTAAAGCTGCAACCAAATACAGATGATAAAACATATAGTAAAGATCTCTGTTAACTACAAAACTAAATACAGGTTTTTGTGGATATTCTCATTTGCTACTAATACTTAGAACTAAATAAGAGTTAGAGATGATGATTAATAGTTCCAAAACATGCACAGCTGTGGTGTTTAATATGGTTCACTAAAAGATCCTGTCACCTTAAGAAATCCTGGCCTTTGCCCAACAGCAGCATTTGAGTTCAGCTACATGTCAAAATTTTCTGGTCTGCTGCTAATGGATACACATACAACAGCTGACTTTTAAAAGATACATGGAACTCTAGTGAGTTTTATTTAACCCATACATGTCAACAACAGCCTAAAATAATTGTAATGATTCTGTTTAGTTCCTATTCTATACAGTGCTGCATTATACATGCCCTGCTATTTACAAAGTAACAGCTCTTCAGGGCTGGAGGGGATAAATTTCCTCTGAATGGCTGGCATAAAATCATTATTTTGAAACATACAATATCACTAGAACTTCACAGAATACTAGCATCATCTGTGACACTACATCACAATTTACCCATCATGTTTAAATTCTGCTACGAAGAAACAATTGTTTTCATTTCTTTTCTAAGGGACACCACAGCCACCCCTACCGGTGATTTCAAACTCTGCTAGACATTCTTCCATACTGCTAAAGGTAACAGAGTTTTCTGAATTACTGATTTATGCATTGTACCTTTCTAAAGCAAAAATACCAGTAGCCAGATTTATCTACCATAGTGCACCTGACCCAAATACCAACATCTACAGCTGAGTTCACAAATGATTTCACTAGCAGCAACAGAAACATCATGGAACGCGATATATGCAGCATATATCCCTCAATTCTTTAAATTCTCTTTGTACAATCTCAAGACGTATCTCAAAACTAAGAAATGTGGATCTCTCTGATTGGATCATTTTACATTAAATTACTCACTGTATTTATATATAGCCCAAAGGAATTATCAATCTACTAGGGGTACAATAATAATTACAGATTTGATAAAGAATTACATGGAATAGTTCTAAATAAAAATTTAAAATGCTACAGAAGACAAATTAACTACGTACTTCATTTTAGAGATCAGCCACAGAGACATTCGCCAGGTAGAAGAGATCATTGTTTATTTGCTAAAATTAAAAACTAGATATACTTAAAAAGCATACTTATATTTACTTAATCATAAAACTCACTGGCCTCAGTACAGCTTATTTCCTAGTAACTGTTCTAGAACTTTAGGCACAGTTATTTTAAAATAAAGATCATTTAAACATATAACATTCTGTGGGAAAAGAACCCCATTGATGAATCTAGTCTGCAAAATTCCTTGGGGTTAAAGAAATACATAGTCACAAGGTATATTTTTTTAAAAAAAAAAACCTGCAGCATAGGATCAAAACCACATCAGGGCAGAGTATGTGGAATCAATATTATAAATCATATACAAAGGTACGAAGAAAAGGTAAATGTATATCAGAAGTACAAGTAATTTTTAAAAAGAAAGTTTCCTTCTCTTCTGCTTAGCCCACAGAGATCTCTACACAGCTTTATACACACATTTCCTTCATGCACGGTAAATAAAACACTAGTTCGTTCTGTTTCCCTACCTCATCATCTCTGAAGACGATTCACTCTACAAAGAAATTCCATCCACCCTGACTCACACACACACACACACACACACACACACACCTGTCTTCCCAACACCAAGCATCATTCATAATTGAAATCCTAGAGGTTTTTGTCCATCCCAATTCCCCAACTAATCACCCCCCCCCCAAAAAAAAATACTTGTTAATACAAAATCTACACATACTTCGGAAGGACTAAGTCCAATTGATCTTATGGAAATTAATGAACAAATTACTGGTACTTAAGATTATAATATAAATCCCAGGCTGAATCCATTTTCTGCTCCAACAACCAGGATTCTAAGCAGCGTTCAGCATGGCAATCCATCCAGACATACTGTAATCACATGCACAAAAGCCGCCCAGGCACCCCTCCTCTTCTTCTTCTTCCGCTCTCTCTCATTGCTACCCACCCGCTTTTAGGAGGGAAAAATCTTTATACTTATTTCTTCTTACCCAAATGTTTAAGGTTTGGGTAAACACCAAGTGGAATGCATCTCTCCATCTCTGTGGACTGCTCTCAAACAAACCCCATGGACGCGGCAAAGAGGAGCTGGAGGATGCTCACTGCATTCAAGGGAGAAAAGACCCCCACCTCCTTATAAGAAAGAACTTCCGGGTAATGGTGAACCTTATAAGCAGGTGAAGAACAATCCTCTCCCTTCCACCTCTCCTCTGGGCTGTACTATTCTAAAGAATTCCCCCCCCCCCTCTCTCTCTCACACACACACACATTCACAGATGGGGGAGGGGAAGATGGAAGCAGAGCAAGCTCTCTTGGAAAGCTTGATATAGGAACAAAGTCTTACTGAAGCAAACTACTGGGATAAACCATCTAATCTCTGTTAGAGAGGGAGACAGAGATATATTATTACCCGGATGTCAAAGAAATGTGTTCTTTCCAATGCATCACTGTGGATATGATGGCAGTATAGTGGGTCATTTGTACTCACATATCTAATTAATGTAGTATGATTAAAGATTCATTAATACTGTAGGGATATCTGACTACCACAAGTTCAGCAAAAATTTGCATACATATACAAAAAATCTTAAATACTAGCATCTTTATATAAAAGGAGCAATTGAAATATGTAAATTTATCCAGGAACAAAATATATTTGCATCTTGAAAAATTTGGGAACAGAAGGTTCCAGAGAAGTCTGGAATATTCCATTTTCACTCCAAACCATGTCATTACATCAATAAACAACCAATTCAAAGATAGAAAGTGAACAAATGTTTTCACTCTAGGATTTTAAATCTGAAGTAGCATCTTTCCAGCAAAGCATTTTTTTACAATCTTTGCTTGATAAATTTTTAACTAAATTATGTACTTAGACTGAATATAGCTAACTCAATCACAGTTTTCAAAAGGAGTGTAGAAAATTAAGATTTGCAAATCTATTTACTTTCTAGGTAAAGAAAACATTACTGAAGAGAAAATTATTAAATTATACAACACATTGAGTGCTGGGAGCTTAAAGCACTTCCAAGAATAAAGGTATATATGCCTCTATATGAATTATAAGGCTCCAGTTCCTAGTTAAGTATTGATTATGTGCCATCAAGTCATTCTTTTACTCCTACCACATAGATTTATGTCTATTTTATATTTTATTTTAAATTTTATACTAGTTCAATATACTCATGAGCAATTAAACAAATGGTGGAACAGATTATTTTTCAATTACTTTTACTATAGTACATATAAAACTGATTCCTCTTCCTTTTCATGAAATGGAAAAAATCTACCTAGTATAACTATCTCTGAAAATTAATAAAATATACTTCTTTATTTTTATTTTTAATTCTTTTATAATTAATAAAATACATTTTCTTTTTCAAATCTCTTATTCTCTAAATAAGATATTAAAATAGTTCAGACTGGGAAATCACAGTTTAAAACGGTCTTTAATAGAAAATTTACAGAGCAGACAAAGGAGCTATGGAGCAATAGCCCATCTACTTTAACACAGTTTTATATCAGGAGTATAAAAATGGCAATCCTATCATCAGTCTGCAATCAAATCTAGATGGCTCCTTTTGTGTAATATACTAAGATATAATCCATGATTTATAAAACTGCAGTGGCTATGTTCACACACTCTTGCCAAACTAAAACCACATTCTGGCTTAACATAAGAGCCAAGGTGGCGCAGTGGTTAAATGCAGCACTGCAGGCTACTGCTAGATCAGCAGGTCAGCGGTTCAAATCCCACCGGCTCAGGGTTGACTCAGCCTTCCATCCTTCCGAGGTGGGTAAAATGAGGACCCAGATTGTTGGGGGCAATATGCTGACTCTCTGTAAACCGCTTAGAGAGGCCTGAAAGGCCTATGAAGCGGTATATAAGTCTACTGCTATTGCTATATTATTGCTATAACTAGTTCTCACAGTACACTATGACAAAATGAAATGAGTTTCACTGTTGCTTGCCATATTGATTTCTTAACCATGGTTTAAGATTTGGCATGTTTTGTGCAATGCATATGAATACTAGGCTTTGAATCCTATCCTTGAAATAACTACAGCATTGAAGAAAGTAATTGGTAATAGAAAATTACTATGTAATCAATTGGGAGAAGATATGTAGAAACAGACTGGGGAGTACTACATATTGCAGGGTTGGGCAGGAGTTACTTTTGACTCCTAACTCTCTGGAGAAGGCTCTAATGCTGGGAAAAAGTAGAAGGAAAGAGGACAACCAGGTACAATCCTGCTTTGAAGATGCAGCAGAAGGGATGAGCTCTGCAGGTAAACTGGCCAGCAGGAAAGTAGACCCTAATGAACAATGTGCCTCAGCTCTGCGTATCTGTGGAGACTCAGCATGGCTTAGTGTCCTCAATCCCTGAGAGAAAAAACTGTGAACAACTTTTCAAATCTCAGCTGTTATCTTTATTGTGCTGTGCTTAAAATTCTGGATTAAAGTTCTCTGTTTCTCTTGTCCCTCTCCTTGGACTCATTATTTGTGCATTGGATTCGTGGTTTTGACTTTGCCAAGACTGTAAGCAATGTTGGTGGTGTCATCACTTACATTTTAGTTTTCAGATGCCTTTTTAAACAATTTTATTAGGTCATCTAGTTTTTATTGCTAAGATGTTTTGAGCAATATGTATGGGCCAGAATTCATTCCTTGTCATTTCTTCGTCTTTCCCATACTGTTATTTTCTCTTGCTGGCCATGTATAAACAATTCTCAGTTCTTGGCCAGTTGTCAAATATAGTAATGCACAGAACTCAGTAATTAAAAGGGGGATTAGACTGATAATGTAAGATAAAAATAGAAATTTATCAGAGCACTCTGATCGCTAGGTGCTTTCACTTCACCATCTTGGCTGCTCTTCCAAGCCTGCCATCTTTTTTAATTTAAAATTTTTGCTGCTTTTAAAATAACAGAAAAAGAAAAAAAGGAACAAAATTCAAAAAGATACTAGTAAAAAGGACTGCTTTAAAAGTTTATCAGGTTTACATAGCTACATATTGCACAAATATGGCGCTCGGTGGTATACAATTAAAAAAGCCTGAACAGTGTAGATCAGCTCCAGCAGAGAGCAAAAGGTGCATCTCAAAAAGACAATGATAACACAGTTACAATTTTCAGCTTCCAAAAGTTCTGCCTGATATTTTATCACTGGACTAAAGCAAGCCTCCAACCTGCTTTCTTGTTGGAGTTTAGTGGCTAATCATTTCAAATAAATAGCAAAATAAATAAATACAGAAAAGTATAGATATATCCCAGCATCTAAAAATCCATTTCAGGACTTTCGTTGCTATTCAAGTGGTAGTCTCTGGAATATTTTTGATTGCTGGCTTCTTTATTGTTGGTTGTTGATTCAAAAAGATATGTTATCCACCACTTCAATATCATCACTGTCAGTTTTAAGGTTAGTTGCAGTAATATTGTCATTATTTTGATGTTAGCCCTAATTATTCTCTTTGCAGTGAATTTGGCCCCATCCGTGTTTGCCTTTGGAAAGCCCTTAAACCTTGGTTTTTCCATCTACTTTGGAGAGGTTCCACCACAAAACCGCGATAGACTAAAGCGCGCTCGAGGAAAGCGCGTACGTGTCATCACAGCGTGAAGAAAACAGCACGCTGTGAGCGGTAAACTTAACGCGAAAACCTTACCCTAACCCCCCCCAAACCTAACCCTAAACCTAACCCTTAACCTAACCCTAACCCTAACCCTTAACCTAACCCTAACCCTAACGCTTAACGTAACCCTAAACCTAACCCTAATCTTTAACCTAACCCTAACCCTAACCCTTACCTTTACGTGAATCGGCTTGCTTTAAAAGCGCTTTTTAAAGCGCCCTTTTTTCTCCGCGGTCATATTTGTCGCGCTGCTGATGACGTCACGTACGCGCTTTAATCGGGCGCGCTTTAGTGGACCGCGGTTTTGATGGGTCACGCTTTGGAGATCCCATGGTGAGCCTGTACGATTGTTATATAATGTCAAATGAATGCAGTTCTCTTGCATTCTTCATTTTTTATGTTTGCCTGATTTATGGTTTTAATTGTATGTGCCCAGAGTAACATTTTGAAAGATGGGTGGCTACGTATATTAAATTTAAAAAAAATTAATCCAATGGTCACACTTTAACAGACCCAATATAGAAACGAAAAGCTAGCATTTTCTGAGAAGACATGTTATTACATTGATCAAACACGGTAAGTTTTAGGGCATTAAAATTACAATATTAGTACTGACAATATATTTTTCTGCTTTGATAGTAAAATAATAAGTGAACATAACTGACTAAAAATGTGTCTGCCACTGTGAAAACTGTTTTTTTGTAAGCCTATTGTTAAAAAATCCCCCCCCCCCAATGAGAATGTGCAGAATGTTATCATATTTTGATCAGAGCCTTCAGAAGCTAGTCTATTTCTGGACTTTGGAAATATGCAAATCCTTTTTCTTTAATATACTGCATTAGATACTTTGTTCTTCCTTTTCTACAGTGTTTTCATCTTTCTCTCTTGCCTAATTTGGGAAGATAACTTGTCTCCCATACAGATTACATGTGTGCTCTATGTGAGACACACATGAGTATTTGTAAACACTGCTATGGATGACCTTACCAGTCAGCGTGCATTGATTGGCTTATAAGGAGCATTCGCTTGTAATGGTTTGTGGGAATGTCCTTGAGAGGCAAGAGGAAGAAGAGGTGCAGCCAGGGCAACAGTCAAATAAGAGACTTTTTGACCCAGGGAGCATGGTAAGTATCTCAGAAGGACATTCCCTGTTCTGTGGAAAACAAAAGCAGCCAAGGAGACTTTCAGACTTGCAATATTCTGTTACTGTAACTTCACAATTATCTAAGCACTCATGGTTTTGGTTTCTTGTCTGGATTATCTCTAAGCGTTTGACACATATGAAAAACTCTTAAATACTGAGGATAAGAAAATAAGATGAGAAACATATGCAAAGAGTAGGTTAGTACCACACATTCTGAAATGTATGAAATGAAAATAAAATGGATATGAAAGTGAAAGTGATATGAAATCCCTTCTATTATAAACTTTATAATGGATTCATCAATTAGCCAACTATACTTTATCCTGATACAAATTCAAGCCTGAATGGATAGTTGATGGTTTTATGTGTTATGCTAATCCAGAACATTGAGCCAAATAAATCATCATTAAGTTTAAATGTACTGTAGAACTCAGGCAATTAGGTCAATAAACTATGGACCAATTTCTCATGGGTTGACATGTTGTGCAAACCAAATTATTGCTTATTTTATATTACGTGATTATTCTTGGGGGGGGGGAGAAATCTTTGCAGTATCTGAATATCTAAGGCAATACTGTATCGTACATCTTTTATCTGCAATTCTACAAAGAATATGCCAAACATTTTCAATTCTATTATGCTGGGACATTATTTTTTTTAAAAAATCCCACAATAAGCTAATGAGGCATGTTGAGATTTTAAAAAAACATCCTTCTTGCAAGTCTTCTTTTTAAAACAAAGCAATAAATTCTATTATTGAGCAGCAAACATAACACTGTAGATAATAAATGGATGAATGTAGAAATATCTAGACATGATAGCCACTCCAAAAAGGAAAGCAGGGAGTATATTTTTAGCAACCAGCTGCTGTCAAGATGTAAACTGGTACCCTTTAATTGCTCTCTGAGGTAAAAGTAAGTCCTTTCAGTTCATTCACTCATGCCATCTCATAGTTCCAAAGAGGTAAGCCTCAGCTTTCAGGGTCAACTTTGTTTTTGTTTTATTCCTTGGAGCCAACCACTAAAGACTGGAGCATATACCTCTGGAATTTAAGTTTTGTTTTATGTACCAAAACTGAACAGAGCTGATAAAAGTACAGCCGTTTCATATAAACCCATAGCTAAGTCTTCCACGCATGTGGCTTGCCTTAGTCTGAAGAGTTCTCCCAAACTTGAATACATGATATCCTTGATATCCATGAAGGCAACCTTTGCTATCTTTTTTCCCCCAGTTTCTGCTGGCCCAAACCATGCTGGTCAGTCCACAGCAAATAATTTCAGGGTAAATTTAAGGGCAGAGATCTGCCCTTATGCTGTTTATCTGATACTACCTGTAGGTGTACATGCCTTAGCCCAGTTGTAGTCAACCTGGTCCCTACCGCCCACTAGTGGGTGTTCCAGCTTTCATGGTGGGCGGTAAGGGTTTTGTCCGATACTGAAGCACTCTCTTTTTTTTTTAAATTTAATTGACTTTTTTTAAAAAAAATCATAGCATTATTTAAAAACATTTTCATTAGGTTTTCATAAAATCACCGTTACTGTGGAACCGGTGGGCGGTTAGAAAATGTTACTAACAAGAGATACAAAAGTGGGCGGTAGGTATAAAAAAGTTGACTACCCCTGCCTTAGCCTATGACCATTTAATTATCAGTCATTTGCCTTTTGGCAGCCGGTCCATCATGCCAAAAAGTTGGATAGGATGGGAAGCATGGGGAAAGAGGTTTTGCAATCTGCCCTTGGGAGATGGAGGAGATAGCAATAGCAATAGCAGTAGACTTATATACCGCTTCATAGGGCTTTCAGCCCTCTCTAAGCNAAGTTGTGAATGCCCCAACACTGGAAGTTTTTAAGAAGATGTTGGATAACCATTTGTCTGAAGTGGTGTAGGGTTTCCTGCCTGAGCAGGGGGTTCGACTTGAAGACCTTCAAGGTCCCTTCCAACTCTGTTAATCCTATTCTATTCTATTCACCCCATGGAAAAACCTCTCTCTGTGGAACCTGTCCCTAGTGCCCAAAAGATTGGGGGCCACTGATCTAATGGATCTGGCTTGAATATTTTCATCTGTCTAAAATATCAGTCCTGAAATTCTGGCAAAAGCATCACTTAACATCATCACGTAAGTGAAGGGTGGTCCATTTCTAGCTCTGTCTTTACGGAATGCCATCCTCTGCGAGATTTAATTTCATTACCTTTGAATCTGCCACTTTTGTCAATCCCAGCTCTTTGATGATCTGGTTGATTCTCTCTTCTTTTTCATGAGCTTTTACTGTTTTTGGTAGTCTGAGTGCAGCTGAGAACTGGAAGTTTTCCCTCACCGTCAACGTCCCCATCACAACATCATCCTGGAAGTACAAAGGACACATTCATATTATTTCCATTTATTTGCTTCAAAACAGAAATTTGATGAGCAATAAGATATGGGAGGGAAGGATAATCAATTTACCTGTACTACATAGCCAGAGATGCATTTAAAATTGTCAGGCTGTGGGGCACCGTTGATGAAAACGTCTCCAGTTAAGCCATGAGGATCTTTCCGTGCTGCTAAAATATCCAGTAATCTAAAAGAGAAATCAGAATTACATGACGTTTGCCACATTGTGCTGAAGTGAAAAGCGCACAATTGCAATTAACACCTTTGTACCGGAGGTGGTATTCTATCAGTTCGGATTGGATCGCCCGAACCGGTAGTGGAAATCGTGGGTGGCTTGGCCCACCAGGGGTGGGATTCATAAAATTTTACTACCAGTTCTGTGGGAGTGTATTGGTGGGCGTGGCATGGGTGGGTGGGCGTGGCAGGGTGGGCGTGGCAGGGGAAGGTTACTGCAAAATCCCCATTCCCTCTCAATCAGCTGGGTCTCGGGAGTCAGAGAATAGATGGGGGCAGGGCCAGCCAGAGGTGGTATTTACCGGTTCTCCGAACTACTCAAAATTTCCGCTACCGGTTCTCTANTATTTAATGTAAAAATTAGCATGTAAAAAATTTAGCGCGTGGTAGCATGTAAGTCTCCTGTTCTTCACTTCTCCTAAAGGTTGATATTGTAGTTAGATTATGCAGAAGTGTTACAGATCATACAGTAGGTCTCCCTTTTAATGCCACAAAGTGCACAGCCAAATTGTGTTTGACTTCAAATAAATTAAAGGAGGAATATTATATTCCCCATGTCCTGGGAGGCGTGGGATAGACTTTGGAATAAGTATAGTGTCAACTCGTAAAGCATTCATGGTCTGCTCTCAAGTTGCCATGGGCCAGATATATAGAGATAGAGAGATATAGATATATAGATCCAAATCTAGATGAAGGCAGATCTTCTATATGTGTGTGGGTATATGTATGTTGAAGGCAAAATCCTGAATATGGTGTATCTAGAAAATCATATTATATTGCTAACAAATATTCCTGAGTAATAGGTCCCAAATGAAAATATATATCGATTGACATTATAACACTCTCTTGGTGCCCTCCAGAGGGTTTTTTTAATCAATTCTGGATGCCTTGGTGACCTTAGGGCATGAGGTTAGGCAGGGTCTAATGCAGGGGTCTCCAACCCCTGATCCAGCACCAGGCCACAGCATGCCCAGAAACCAGGCCATGCAAACAAGGGAAGCCGCATCCACGGGAAACCATGCTCCCTCCAGTCTCTATGCTCCCTCCTGTCTCCACGCTCCCTCCATGACTTGGATGAGGGGATAGATGGAGAACTCATCAAATTTGCAGATGACACCAAACTGTCAGGAATAGCCAACACGCCAGAAGATAGGCTTCAGATACCGAAGGATCTTGAAAGACTTGAACATTGGGCACGATCTAACAAAATGAAATTCAATGGTGAAAAAAGTATGGTTCTGCATTTAGGCAAGAAAAACAAACTGCACAGGTACAGTATAGGTGGCACCTTGCTCAATAGTAGTAANCTACCAGTTCTCCAGAACCTGTCAGAACCTTCTGGATTTCAACCCTGGTACTAAGAAAATTGAGGGAAGGCCTCGAAATATGATGAGCCTCTGAAGAAGATCTGTGGTCGCTTTATGCAAAGCCTCTCCAAATAATTACCAAGATCTAATATATAGGTTTAAATTAAGCAAGGTAATTTATAATTTTGTTTATATTGATACTCCATGAGCAATTTTGCCCTTTGCTGTTGTCTTTGAACTAAGAGTCCTACTGAATCTTTGGAAGACTAATCTCAGACGTAAATACTTCTCCATCAACATTATGGTTCCAAATAAAATCAGCTCCCAGATCTGTTTTTTGAAAAAGAAAAGGTGATATTCAGACAGTCGATAAATGTCTGAGTCAAGCCTTCTTGACTCTTACCAATGGTCTTGAAGTAATCTAAGGCATTCTGAGCAGGTCCATGATATAAAAGTCTCCCCGCAGCCAACAAGGTCAGTTTATCAAACAGCCTGAAGATGGAGTAGCGTGGTTGATGAATGGAAAAAATAATGGTTTTCCCTTGCTTGGACATCCTGTACAGAAAGCAGAAAAATGTTAAAGAGCTAAAGTTAAGTCCTTAAGATAAAATACCCTGAAAATTATTATTGATCATTCAAATCCTAGGTTTTGGGATTTTTTTTTGGTGGGGAGGGGATGAATTAGCAATACCAATAGCACTTAGACTTATATATTGTTCTACATGCTTTATAGCCCTCTCTAAGCGGTTTTCAGAGTCAGCCTATTAAAACACCCATCTATCCATCTGTCATTTTGTGTGGCTGTGCAAAATGTCAATATTTTAACGGGTCTCTTTCTTTTCATTATCCTCTTTATTTTTTTCCCTAGGAAGTGGGTGGGGCTTTTAAGAAAGCTGCTTCTGAATTATATCTTGAGCCTCTCAACGGGATGTTGTTATAGAAAATGGCCTTCTTTTATTCTATCTGTGAGCATAAATACTGTAGCGTAGCATCATTTCCTATTATAGAATCATGGAATCAAAGAGCTGACATGGACCTCAGAGGTCATCTAGTCCAACCCTCTGTTCAAGACAGGAGTCTTATTCATCACAGCCAAACGATTGTCCAGTCTGTTTTTGAAAACCTCAAGTTATCTTCTGTCATTTCTGCATGGGAGCCCTTCATCTCGTAATTACCTTTTCAACAGCAGCAAAACGGCATTGGCGGTGCTGGCATCAAGGCCAGTGGTTGGCTCGTCTAAGAACAAGATAGCCGGGTCGGTAATGAGCTCCATTCCAATATTGGTCCTTTTCCTCTCTCCTCCTGATATACCACGAATGAACTGAGTTCCAACCTAAAGGAAAAGGGGAATGTCTACGATACCGTCTTCTTGAAAACATTTTCAGGCAGAGATTGTTTAGCACCCAACAATACAAGACTCATATATGAATCTGTTGGGTTTTTTTTAAAAAAAACAAAACCCTGGAAGATAAAGGAGAATATTTGTAGCTCGGGGTTGAAATGAAGGGTCTCTGAGCTCGCTTGTTTTCTTGCAGATGTTTCATAATATCATGAAGATGTTACCTAGTTTGGGTAACAAAATGTCTACAAGAAAACAATCAAGCTCAGAGAGTACCAAGGACCCTTCCAATTCCAACCAATATATATTGATTAGCAGTAGTACATTAGTACAGACACAATGTTAATACATTGCCACTTTTGTTGAACCCTAGTTCAGGGATGATAAGAACAAGCCATAATAAAATCTGGTTTAAGTATTCACTCTGTACTTCACCTCCATTTATTTGTCTAATAATCTCTTAACCTGGTTCATATTTCCTTCTACATTGTTCATTAGAAAGCTAATACACTGCTTCATCTTCTTAAGACCAATTTCTCTCAGTCTGAGAGTTTAGTAGGCAGAGTTTTTGTATTTTTCATATTTGTGTATTTAATGTAAAAATTAGCATGTAAAAAATTTAGCGCGTGGTAGCATGTAAGTCTCCTGTTCTTCACTTCTCCTAAAGGTTGATATTGTAGTTAGATTATGCAGAAGTGTTACAGATCATACAGTAG